TAGGCCGAAAGGCTGAGGTGTTGTAGGCCGAAAGGCTAAGGTGTTGTAGGCCGAAAGGCTGAGGTGTTGTAGGCCGAAAGGCTGAGGTGATGTAGGCCGAAAGGCTGAGTTGTTTATCACTAAGACTAGAGGAGTTGTTTTCGAAACTCCCTCATCCCATTGTGTGGATTGAGTGGTTGTGGTGCTCTTGGAGCCCAATTTGTTGAAAACCCTCCCTGGGAAGCTGACCTTTAGAGTGGTAACTATATATATATATATAAATTGATGCAAATAACAACAACTTGGATGTCATGTTTCAAAAAAGTGATACAAAAAAAGTGTTTTCCCTTATCACCTTATATTTTTTATGAGTTGCGTTATTTGAATGTATGTTCATTGTACTAATTAAGAAGTACTTTATACATACTTATAAATATCTATGTACCGGCGCGTTTGCAAGTAAGTCAAGGAAAACAAAGATAGGAATTTTCTTTCTTGGCCATTGCCATAAAATTAGTTTTCTAAGTTTTGAGTGTTTTCTCTTTCTCTTCTTCACATATCCCTTTATTTCTTTCAAAAACATCAAAGCACCTAGTTCGTTTCAATTCTTAAACTCACAATGACAATGACGATGAGTGGTGTGCGTGTATGGAAATGTTTCGCGACTGACTTCCTTGAAGCAATGGGCGATGGTGGAACAAGAGATATGAAGAAGAAACAAATGTAAGAATCCAAAGGATCAATTTGCAAAAGAATCACAAAATAGATCATTACATTATGTTAAGGAAAAATTGAACACAAGGATAGAAGATACAACACAAAATACATTAATATATAGAAAACAATGAAAATGCGAATGTAATGTAGATCGACACTTTTAGCCAACATCCATGGACAAACTTAAAAACCACCCCCTAAACCCTATGTTCTTAAACAGTTATATATAACTAATTTTCGTCCTTTCTCTCGTGTACTAGACTCATATTTTTCATGTTCCAACTTATTAGAATTGGATGGCGGGCTAATAAGAGTATGAATTGGGTTTAATCTATATATGTCAAGGATAGGAGATGTATTGTCCAAAATATTTGAATCAATTAAACTCAATTCTATGCTTAAGCACACTTATGCTTGTCATTATTATTTAATCGATGCAGGAGTTTTATATAATTCTCCAATAGTATTTTTTTTCCTTTTTAATCATTTAAGAAATTTTGTGAAACATGTACCTACTAAAAAAAGTCGGTGATGACTAATGACTTAATTTCAATTTCTGACACAACTTCATCGTGTATAGCCCTCCAATTACAAAGGGTGAGCATACCAACTGTACACTATAGTTTCCCTTTCTAATTCAGCACCCCTGCAATGTAGGAATGTCAGCATAAATTAACGAATTAGCCTCCCATCCTAAAGCCTCATTCCTGCAAAATAAACGAAACCTGGATGATCAATTTCATCTATATCATTTATCCCCCGACAATATAATCCTATCGAAAAACAGAACATGTACAGATTAATTTTTTTTTATTTATTAAAAACTAATATTATCCTTTTGGAGGAAAAGAAACAAGAGACAAAACTAACCCATTCCCCCATCTCATGGAAGATAACAATTAAGGTGCTAAAAACTAAAAACACTAAAGCCACGCAGATCCAAATCCACATTACCAATTTGCAATTTCATGACTATTAATATTTTTAACCAGTACATCTGCATAGATGAAACACCCAGTTTGTATATGAGAAATTCTGTAACTAGAACTCATCAAATAATTTTCAACTAAAACAACATACTGTATATGTAATCTAAGTCTCAAATATATATTAGCCCCTGAATTAATGTATACATGCATATGTAGGACTATGTTAAAGAATATGTTTGATTAATAAGGAATTGCCAAGTCATATTGTAATAAAATCTTAAACGGAATACAACTGGAAACGCGTGCCATAAAGATATAATTCATGTTATTTATCAAACTAATTAAGAATGATATATTGATACGTACCAACGAATTTGGATGCTTTGTTGATTACTCCCCCTTGAAACGCCATTCATACAAATACACAGACACTTACTTTGGGATCCAAGTGTTTGACTTTAATTGTTCCTCAATGCCTTTTGAATCTCCAAAAGCAAGCATAAAAACATCAAACTTCACTTTAAAGCTGGACGCATCATCAAATGGCATAAATTGGCTTTACTTCTACATCAGTTTCTGACCCGGAGTTTGTTCCGCCCAAGAACGTGTTCTTATTTTTCTTCCACCCTCTATGTTTATTCTTAAGCACATAGTACGTCATAGTACCAAGAACACTAACCATTGTAACTGCCCCAACAACAGTGACAAGTATTGCAGCCCACTTGTGATGCCTACCAATCACTATATAAGACGCTGAAGCGAATGCAACAGTGGTGCATATTGACGCCAACCACATCATCTTGTTGATCACCTTCATAACCCTCATCTCAGACTTCGTTCTCCCTCTCACAAGTGTGATTTGAACCACCACAACAGCCAGTGAAGTAAAAAGCGCAGCGGAATTTGAAATGAAGAAGATATCAAAGGCCATCGTGCCTACCATCACTGCCACCCCGCTATCAGAATCACCACCGGGAACACTGAAGATGGCAGCAAATGCAAGCGTGGCAAAGAGAACCGCAACCACCGTTACTGTGTTGGTGGCATTGTTGATACCTGCTCTTTGCAACTTGCGCAGCTCTTTGGCGATTCCGTTTACATTCCTGTTTGTTTTCCGAGTTTGTTCAAGCTGCGTGCGAACGTCCTTTCTGATTTGTGTCACGGTGTTCCTGATGAGTTCATCCTTCGGCTGGTTGAGATTGTTGGCATTAACTGCACCGTAACGAACTAGGAAATCTTTTATGTATAGGATTTCTTCAGATGCTGGAAGGGATTGGGCAATATCAAGAGCTGTTTTGTGGTCCCTTGTTAAGGCGTTCACGTTGGTGTCTAAAAGAAGTAATAGCACTTTCACTATCTGCATGAAACTATATATGAAATCATATATATAGAGTTTAATTTCCATGCATTAATATATGACAATAAATTGAAGACAAATGATGAATCAGAAGTCATAATTTATCAAAAGAGTACAATAAGAGTTTTACATTCTCTATCAAATTAAAAATCATTGTTAATATGATTTTTAAAATAATTATTATAAAAGTTAATAAATTTATTATATGTATAAATTAATTTGTAATTAGATAATAGTATAAAATTATTTTATGTCGTAGATATATAACCTATTTTCCTTTATCAAAAATCAATGGTTGGTGTAACTTCTAAAATAATTATTTAGAAGAGGCAAAAACTCACGGTATATGACAGTTGGTCATTGGATATATAGAGTTTACTCTCAACATATAGCATGTAAATATATGATGCAGAAAAATATGAATAGGAATAATACATAACGTTGCTCTTGAATTGTTCAGTCATAGACAGTGTACAATACCTCTACCCTCTTTTTCCTTGTGGCTATGTGTAATGCAGTGTTGCCAAACTTGTCTGGCAGCATGACAATTGCTGCATCAGTGTTAAGAATCAACTTCACCGTTTCACAACTCACTCCCTTCACTGCCATATGCAGTGCAGTTTGCCTTTTCTTATCAGTTCTTCTAGCAAGTTGTGGATCCCTGGCGAGCAATAATGTTACAACATCGACATGTCCTTGGCGAGCAGCCAAATGAAGTGCATTCTTTCCGTTGGATCTAGATAGTTCCAGTTGACTAGGGTCGCGTGACAACAAAAGTTTAACAACACTCGTATGTCCTCTTGTAGCTGCAGATATTAGAGGGGTTGTTTTTGATAGGGAACATGTCTTGATCAGCCCCGGATCACGGTCTAGCAGCAACTGAACAATAGCTGAAAACAAAATAATAAGAATAATAATAATTCACATGAGCCATTCTCATATGATCATTATTCTAACCAAACATTTTGGTTTAGTAGTTACAAGAAATTTATCTACTATTAAGATCGATTCTTTTCGGTGTTAAAATAATAACAGGTCTAGCTAGTATGTGAAAATGTAAGTTCATGAAAACAATTCGAGAATGATGTGAAAAGTGAAGAAGATTTGATTAGGAGGTGGTTGTTACTTACATAGGTGACCACGGCTAGCAGCAACATGCAAGGGATCAAACCCTAGATCATTCTTCAACGAAACCCCTTCGGAAGAAGCATAGTTTAGAATATCGTTGACAACATCAAGGTGGCCTCTATCAGCGGCAATGAACAACGCAGTCTCTCCCAACTGATTCACATCATTCACGATGGCCGACCTTATCGCCGCAACCTCGGCATCGAAATCAGCGCCGCTCAGCGTCCCCACCATCTGGTCATTGATCAGGTTAAGAATCTCCCTCACGGCCACGGCGTCGCCCCGCCGTGCCGCGAGGTGGAGCTCGGTGTCGTTGTGGCGGCCGATGACCTGCCTCACGTACTTCTTGCCGGCGTTGGAAAGGCATTTGCCGGGGTTGGAGACCAGAAGAGGGTTGCCGGAGCACGAGAGCAGCAAGGTGTCTTTTCTTGGGGTGTTGGGTTCGGTTTCCATGGCCATGGGATTGTTAGCATTATTCTCTGCACCCTTGTCTGTGTCCATGATCGAATCTAGCTATCATCCACATTCATTCACAATCATATTTTCATCATTTGATTGATAAAATAAAACAAAATCACGTACAATCATGGATATGCAATCATGCATGATGAGTGAGTGACTCAAGAAAATCAGCCTCTCGATCCGCACTATAAGCCGAAGCATGTTTGTGCGATAAGCATTAAGCAATGCGTTGCGTTAGTTTTGCTGTGTGTAATTAATCATATATTTCATGCACCAGTCAACGCAGCGCCAAACGTACGATTTCTCTCGTGCAAGAGTATAGTTAATTATACGTAAACAACTCCACATCATAAACGCTTATATTATTTTATTCTCCCTATTTTTTCTACCATGTTGTATTTGAATAAAAACCTAAAAATAATTCGACTTTTTATCTATTATTTTTAATTCTATAATTTTAATCTCTTAAAGTATAATATTTTTATGGAAATAAAAGTATATATAAATTATTTTTTATTTATGAAAAATAATCTTTTGTTTTTTCCTCCTATATTTATAGAAGGTGTTGACTCCGTAATCAGAGGGTAAATCAAGCTATAAGCGTTGTCATTGATACGCTGTAAGACCTGAAAGGGACCATCTCCTCTAGGACTTGATACCTCTTCCTAATGTTGAACATTTCATTCATTAGTGATGCTTTCTTGATGTGCTTCCACTTGGATGCACATGGATTCTTCACTCCTTCTCGGATTCCTTAGATGATTCTTCAAGGATTTGAGACGCCTCAAAGGAGCAAGGTGACCTAGGCTTGCATACAAGCTAAGTCCTAAGAAGATAAGGTGTCCTAGCTCTACAAGGAGAAGCTCTCAAGGAGGGTAGAGGCTAGAAGCAAAGTGACTTCGGAGAAGAGATTTCTTTGAGAAGAATACTCATTCAATAATGTCCAAAGT